TTAATATGCTTAGTATTTCCTGACATATCTATTGCGATCCAGGATAATGAAAATTTGGGTGATTGGTTTATTTTTCACCTCGTATAATGTGAGCAGAAGAATAAAAGTTGTTAGAGAATAACTTTAGGACACAAAGATTTGTAGTGTCAAGAATTAGGTAAAATTATGCTAGAGAATTTTTTTACCCTATTTTATTCTTTTAGAGTGTGATATTTAAAGATCTAGACAAAAACTTCATGACAGTAAGGAAAATGTGCATTGAACTAGAAATGGCTCTTCAATGTTCAAAGAGTTTTGCTATGATCTAATTCCATTTATCTTATTGTTCGTAGGAACTTCCAAAGATCTTTAGTTCACAATTACAAGGAGCTCTACCAGAAAGAGTATTCCTTCAAGTTTGCTACAAAAATCTATGGCCTGTGAAAACGGCAAAAATTGAGTGACTGTTTTTTTTGTGATGGATGGGAAAAATTTGTTCGTGACAACTCTTTGGAATCTGGGGTTATCTTTGTTTTTCGATACGATGGAGAAAACCCATTTGATGTAAAACTGTTATGGTCGTCAGGTTGTGATACGGAGGGTCTTGGGCATTTCAATAGTAGTGTTGACGATAAGAATAAATAAGATGGTGAAGCAAAAGCCGAGCAAGTGGCTTATTGTACGTTCGGCATTTATTTCTGCCTATTTTCCAAAATAAAGTATTATGTTATTCATAATTTTGTCTAATTTAATTCTAATGGTATCAACTGATTAAGATGGAGATAGCAAAGAGGATGATGTTAAGAGCAATGAAGACCTACATTACATGGAAATTGATGAAGACGAGGATGCTGAAGATGAGAATAGCGAAGAGGATGACACTGAAAATAAGATTCAAGAAGAAGGTGAACCAGTAGTGGATCGAGTTGCTATCGGTAACTTTAGGATATATTGATGCCCATTTTTTCTATTAATTTTATGCATATCTTTCAGTTTGTATAATTTCTTACTAATGATATTGGTTGCGATATGGTCCAAGAGTCGAGCCCGATGAAGGCAAGTGCGAGACAAGACACGTTGATAGTTGATGGCGGACGAATGACGCGATCAAGGGCAAAGCAGGTGAAACAAGCGATGAGATTGCTCGTTCAAGAAACCATTGATGGAACTATGTTCGGGATTCAAAATGGAGCAACTTTCATGTTTGGGTCGAAAGCCGAATCAACTTAGATCAATTTGTTGTCAAACGATGAAACCGGAGGCTGAAAATAAGCCTGTGCGACCGCACAGCAAAAACACCATGCGGCCACATGGTGGCATAACGAAACTTCAATTGGAATTTTTTGTTGAACCACGCGGCCCCACAGGCCAAAAATTTGGCGAATTTTCCAATTTTGGCAATTTTTCATATTTTGTTAGATTTTGTTTCTTTTCCATATTTTGGGGATTATGCTCGACTTTTGCATGATTTTTACCTAGTTTTTAGGTTTAGTATAAATAGGAGTTTCC